GAGTTCCTCCTTTGGCAAGCTCTTGGTCCTACACGTTTAATTAGCTTTCCAGTGCTCTCAAGCAGATTTATTTTAGGTTTGTCCAGTTTTTCTAGTTGTTCTCAGTGGGAAGGTTGGCCTGTATTTTACATCTGACTGTACAAAAAGTCAAATAGCCATTTTCTATCTATTTGTTAGGAAGATTCCTGGAAGCTGTTTTATAACACTTTTGCTTACATCCCATTGGTTACAGTTTAGTCATATGACTGCACCTAGCTGGGAAATACCCTCTTTACTCTAAGAGACCATAATCCTAGCTGAAAAGTGTGGGTTCTATGGATATTTTGTTGAACAGATCCTAGGGTTTGTAATATTAGTTTTTCAGTTACTCGCTATGCAATCTGAAGCAAGTTACTTAAACATTCCAGGTTCCAAGTTACTTATCTATAAAATGGAGGTAATGATAATATCATTTATGAGTCTCAAATGAAAAACTAATAATGAATGCTTATCTGCTGGGCACTTAGCTGAGTCGTTTGTTTACACTGACTACCGTGGTCCTCCTGGTAGTCATCTGATGAAGTAAATACTCATTTGTTCTCATGATGATGAGAAAACTGAGGCAGAGAGATTAGATATCTTGCACAAGATTATACAGATATTTGGCTGCAGAATGGTGATTCAAATGGCAAGCCTTCACCACTACATGATCCTGCCTTGTAAATCACAAAATTCGCCTGTTGGAATTGCTGAGGGAAGATGACAGGACCAGGACTGGAGCGATGCCAGGTGGCTGAGGGCAGTATGTGTTTATAGCTAGAAAAATGGTCTCCTAAGGGAAGGTCTGGGAACAGAACTGGACTTGTTTGGTACATATGGGTTTTTGAGTGATGCAGATCACCCAGCAAGTTAGAGGAGATCATAGAGATAAAAGGGACCCTAAAGAGCGTGTAGTCCCATGGCTTTATTTTTATAAATTAATCGATTTTGTGATACATTTATTAATTTTTATTGAAGAACAATATACATATAGAAAATTTCTCACATTATTAAGTGCATGCTCTATGAATTTTCAAAGTGAATATAACGTAACCAGTTCCTAGATCAAGAGAGAACATTAGCAGCTCCAGTAGCCTCTTTCATGCCTTCCACCCTCCTGGCCTACACCTGTCACTACCCCTCCCAAGGCTAATCATTATCCTGACTTCTAACATCAGAGATTAGTTTTGCCTGTCTTTCATCTTCTATGAGTAGAATGATACAGTATTTGTTATTTTGTGCCTGATTTTTTTCACTCAACATTATTTTGTGAGATACATTCCTGTTGCTGCTTGTAGTTACAAATTGTTCGTTCTCATCACTGTGTAATATTCCCTTGTGTGACTGTCACTATTTATTGATTCAACTGTTAATAGGGAATTGAATGGTGCTGCTCTGAACTTTCTAGAACATGTATCTGGGTGGACACACAAATGTACTCATTTTGGGGGGGCATAACTTAGATTGAAATTTTTGATCATATGGTACTGTCTTGTCTTTGCTTTACCGTTGATGGAAATGAAAGTACAGAAAGGGCAGAGATCTGTCCAAGGTCACCCAGCTTCTGAGCCAGGCCTAGAACCGGAGGTGATTCTCTCCTTGTGCAGTTTGTCCAGGCCTAGATTTCAAGCACACTCATAAAGATTCAGCATTCTCATGCAACACACATTTAGCTTATGAGCTCTTACCATTTAAGCGTCGGGTAAGATGAGACTAATGACCAAGCACAAGACGGGCAGCTGATCAGTGGGGCCATAATTGCAAATACCAGTTTAGATTGGAGGGAGTCAGAGCAGATTCTTCTCTGCATTTTGTCAAATAACCATGTGCGATGTGTGTCCTGTTTAAACTAGAGTTAAATTCAGTCTCCTTTAGGGCTAGGACCTGTGCAAAGTGCTTCCCCCATATGTTATTTCATTTAAGCTCCTGAATAAAAACCGGGTCAATTCACAATCATAAGGACCAACATAGTCTCAAAAGAGAGTATATAAACTCTGTAAGAAAACGAGCATTTTAGAAGGGTGCTTTTCAATCTATGGTGAAGGACCAATATTTTTATAAAATAAAAAATAAATATTAGAAAAATAAAATGAAAAGACATTCAAAATATAAGCTTCCGCTTTTTATTATTAAATTAAACAAATAAAAAGTTACATTGTTAAATTACTATAAAAGTTTCTAAACACTCTTAGTTTCTATATTAATATCATCGAGGATGAATAGCACACAGTTTGCAGATCAACACTGGTTTTCAGACTACCTTTTGAATAGCACTGGTTTATAATTTACCACCCATTCCCCCTTGGCTTATCAAGATAGGTTAATAATTATCTTAGAGGCAGAAAGGTTTGCATAACAAGACGTCTGCATTATACCAGAGACCCTGGAAACCATTCATAGTTTACATTCCTGGGACTTTACCATTCCCCACCCTTTATCAACATGACTTTATTCAACAGTATGGATAAAAGATAAAAGTTACAAATGACTTTATTGTTCTTTTCAAGAACTTCCCCTCAAATCTCATTGAAATGAACATAAAACTCTTAAACTTTTCAATATATAGAATTTAAAAGACTATTTAATCTCCAAGACTCTTTGAAAGCTGTGGCTTGTGTCCATTAATCGTAAACTATTTTATCACAATCTTTAGCCAAATTAACTAAGCACCACCTCATTGAAAGACTTTCCTTAAATCAGATCCCCAAACCTTATAAATATTCATACTTTGCCCCTGCTCTTCCCCAGTCCAAGATGCTACTAAGACTGAGAAGGCAGGAGGATTCTCCTTACCATGGTGTACCATAAACTTAGCTTTGCCTTCTCTGCAGCTTATTTTGCAGGTATTTTCTGGGATCCAGAATTCAACGATCAAGACTTTCCTTTGTTCTTTTTAGTCTTGTTCAGTTGCTTCCAAACTTTAGTATGCATAAAAATTATTGAAGAGTGTTGTGTATGCAAAAGTATGCATGAGCGATTTAAGAGATTTCTATGTATAATTTTACCCATGCCGTATTTAGGACCTAAGCCCTGTACACAGATATTAGTAATTGGTGAAGAATAGAGAATGATTGAGCTGGAAGTGGCCTTAGGTACGTGGATCAAAATCACTTGATGTAGTTCCTGTTAAATACTTGTCTTGGTTTTACCTCTCGGTTGTACTGAATCCGAATTTCTAGAGATGGGGCCTGGGAATGTTTGTAACAACTCCCTAAGGGATTGTGATGCACCAACAGGTTTGAGAACCACTATTCTCCTCCACCACTTCATTTTGTAGATGAAGAAATAGAGACTCAGAAACAGGAGTAAACTTGCCAAAGATCACACAGTTATTGAGCTGTGCTTCTCACGATTCCTTGACAAAGTTCCCAGGTCTGGAGGTCAGATTTGGGAGATGGGCTTATGTATCCAATACCCTGAACAAGAATAATTGATGATGTAATCAGAATACAATTCTATTTTGGCTTCCCAACATCTCTAAGATTCATCAGCGGAGTGGTGGGAGGGGAGTGTGGTTGTCATAATCTTCCACAGCTCCTGGGTTCTAGCAGTCATCATGATTTCCCTGCTTTCTGTCAGGTGAGAGGCACCAGCTAAAGTATTATTTTCAAAAAAGATAAAAGTAGGACTCGTAAGCGAGGATAAAATGAACATATACTCTGCTGAATCTATTGACCACCTTTTTTATTCTCAAATTGCTGCTTGTTAGTTTTCTGATTAGCTCAAGTAAAGACAGATGGGTTATTAAAAGGCTTTAGGAACGTGTCCTCAGAAGGACACACAGCTGGCCCTCTGAGGAACTGCAAGTGGGCGCTGGGAAGAGATTCAAGATTTAGGAAGCTACTCCCCATGGTTTTTCATTACCCAGATCACATGGCTTTTTGAGCACACTTCTTTGCTCCATTCTTTTGTTTCTCTATTCATCAGCATGCATGTGGCTAAAAAATGGACACCCCGGTGCTAAGTCTACATGATCATCACTGAGAACTCAACTTCTGACAAGTCTTTCTAGCTTGGTTCGTACTCTTGATTGAGACTATCTGGCTGCTCTCCAGTCAAGTATTAGCAGTCCTTTGGGGCAGGTCAATCAGCTGTAGCTACTTGGAGAAAACACACTGCCAAGGGGCTGTGTGAGTGTGAGACAGAAGAGTCCAAGTGAGAACTTAAAGTGGGCAAGCACAATAAAATGTGCCTTTTAGTCATTTCAATCATGAGACTCCCCTGTTATGCCAAATGAGTCTGGTTGTCACTCTGTTGCTTTTACTCAGGCTGGATAAGTTTGGGGCAGGGGTCTCACAGGAGCCGATTGTTGTACCTTCCCATTCATATTTCCACCAATATTTGGGATCCTCCTTTGCACAAATCTTTGAGCTGCTAGAAATAGGGATGTCTCTAAGAAGCCTTGGCCCTGCGCTTATGAATTACAAACTTCTCAGTCTTGGATTGGGGTGAAGAGGAGGGTGGGTGTGCCCAGTTATGGCACAGCTACGGATAAATGCAGGAACGGTCGGATGTACCCAGTTGGTGGGGCTTGAACACGTTTCGGTTCACTTTGTTTCTTCCCAGATGGCTCACTCTCTTTCGTGGGCTCAAAACCTGGGCCTAGTAACTGTACAAGTAGAAATGGAGGGGAAGTGCAAGCACCTCAACACGTAGCCGGGTGGAGACAGTGGGAGAGAGTAACAGGTGG